AAACCCTAAACCCATGAAGCTCCAAGGAGGCCACCACCCAGGGAGGCGGTCGTCTCAAGGCCCTGGCCTGGCGCTCGGGCACCTGGCTGCCTGCAAAGGCCGGGGATTTGGGGGTTCAGGACGTTCCCTAAACCCTAAACCCTAAAGGGTGAGGGTTTGAGGGTTTCAAGATGGAGCCTTTGGGTTTAGGGCTTTAGGGCTTTAGGGCTTTAGGGTTTTAGGGTTTTAGGGTTTAGGGTTTAGGGGCTTTTAGGTTGAACTGGGCATCCCCCCCATCGCCATGACCTGCCTTGGACCAGGGCAATCTGGCGCTGGAGGGACTCCAGCATCAGAGCTAAGCCTCCCCCCGAGTCGAGGTTCCCCGACATGGCCAGGGCGGACAAGGCGGCAATGGCGGCAGACTGATCAAAGGTCTGCTTGTGCAAGAACTCCTGGGTTCGGGGTTGGGATCCTTACAAAGTCTTTCTGCTGGCCTATCTTACTCTCTCTGTCCCACACCTTCTGAAGCTGGGCTTGTGGAAGTACATTAGGCCAAGGGTTTTACATCTTAGGGGTTTACATGGGAGATGGGGCGACGGCACGTTCCCAATCACACGACGGTACCCTTATAGAACCCTTAGACCAACCCTTAAACAGGAGCCCTTAGACATTAGAGGAACCCTCTTTATGACAGCAGCCGAAACACCAGGGGGGTGTTCTTCAGCAGCGATGGCTTCGGGCTGTTGCTTCCGGTTCGAAGCAACTTGATGGCATCCGATGCGCTGCCCGCCGGCGGCTCCTCCTTACGCTGCTTTGCGGCTTTTTTGGTGGTTTACGTTCTCACAACTCGGACAGGCCAGGCGAGTTTAGGGTTTAGTGGCTGTGGGGTTGAAGGTTTCATGGCTTTCTTGCACGTCTTGTCCCTCCGCAGGCCTTTTTTGAGTTCCGAATGCCCGGGTTTCTCGACTCTCACTCTCGCACAAAGCAGGCAAGGTTGAAGGGTTAAGGTTTAGGGCTTTATGTAGGGTTTAGGGTTTGAGGTCAGATTGCTTTAGACCGCGTAGGAGCAAGATTCCGGAACGTTGCTCATGTGCTGCTCCAAGAACGGTATTTTGCCTGACTCGATTGCCTGGAGCAAAGCGGAAATTGCTGGGCCAATGATGCAACAACACTCGAGCGCGCAACCTCGGCCCCTTCCTGCCTGGAAAAGCATTTTCACGGCAGCTGCCACGTGCGATCCTGTTGCGCACTGCCTCCAGTTTATGCACCGAAGGACACAAAGTGCGGGACCATTGCAGGTTCTCCTGTCGCAGGGTCGCACAACTTCCCGAATGCGCTGCGCTCAGCCCTTGAAGCTCTCACTCCAAAGTCCTGGAAGCAAGCTGCTCGCCGATCTCGCCCAGCAGCCCGTTCATGTCTTTCGGATCAACCAAGCCTCTAGCAACACACAACATCAGCTCACGCCTACTCTCCGTGTCCCTCCGACACCGAAACGTCACTTGCAGCTCCGGCGGCCATCGTTGTCCAAAGCGACCACCATGTGATGACAGCTTGGTGCGATGGTGCTCGTGAGCTGGGCAAGGAGGGCCCAAAGCTGGCCCTGGTGCATCACTTGACTTCGTACTTTTTCTGAGGGTTAGGGCCAGGCACGAGGGAACACTGATCTCAGCCCATGGGTACGATACCATTGCTACCGCGGTTGCGAGTCGAGCCACCTTGCTCATAATCTCCACACATTGCTCATCTGCTTTCGGCACGGCCGTGAAAGTTCTCATGATGCAGCGCATCGCAGCCAAGGTGATCAAATTTCGGACATCTCCGAGCAGCTGCGTCCCCACCTGCGGCTGCGAGAGAATGAAATGATTTGCAAGTCGCGCCTGTCTATCGAAGCTGCGAATCGTCCATGCAGGAGGTCTGTTTCTCGCATGGTCCTAGCTACGCACGGACGACGACGCTTTTCTCCAAAAGGGATCCATGCCGGCAGCGCAGGTGTTGGACCATTGTGCCTTGCGCCGCGCCTGTGCAGAACCGATCTGAACCACCTGAACACAACCACTGCGTCAAGGTGACCACTTGCGATTTAAACAGGCGTCGGACTATCGTCGTTGCTGCCGCATTACGCATTCCCAGTACTCTTGTCAATCAGCAGGTTCACCGCGGTAAGATGACCTTTCTGCCTTGCGACGAAGACAGATGTTTGTTGCCGTGTCTGGCCGGCACCCAGGCGCACGACATCAAGCTGACCATTGTGACTGGTGACAGGTGCTGCACCACTATCGGTTGCCGTGTCCTTGCCAGTGCCCGTCTCGATCAGCAAGCGCACTACATCAGGATGACCTTTCACAAAGCCGCGTGTAGTGCCACTGTCTGCTGCCGTGTCTTTGCCGTCGCCCTTCTCGATCAAGAAACGTACCACAGTAAGGTGACGTATCTGACTGCTCCGAAAAGAAGGTGTCGCACCAATAGTGTCTGCTCTGTCCTTGTCGGCCCCATGCTCGATTAGCAAGTGCACCACATGAAGGTAACCAATCATAGCCGCGAAGAAGACCGGCGTCATGCGACTATTCTTTGCTCTGTCCTTGTACACCATTGTGGGAACCCTTGTCGACCGGCAAGGGCACCACGTCAAGGTAACCATTCTGACTAGCGATGGAGACAGGTTTTGCACCATCGTTCGTTGCTGTGCCCTTGCCGGCGCAATTCTCAATGAGCAAGCGCTCCACATCAGTGTGGCCATTCTGAGCTGCGATGAGAACAGGTGTCTCGCCAATGCAAGTTGCAATTTCCTTGTCGGCACCTTTCTCGATCAGCAGGCGCACCACGTCAAGGTGACCATTCCGACTTGCGACGAAGATAGGTGTTGAGCCATCGTTCGTTGCTGTGCCCTTGCCGGCGCCATTCTCGATGAGCAAGCGCACCACCTCAGTGTGGCCATTCTGAGCTGCGATGAGAACAGGTGTTGCGCCAAGGCAAGTTGCAATTTCCTTGTCGGCACCTTTCTCGATCAGCAGGCGCACCACGTCAAGGTGACCATTCTGACTTGCGACGAAGATAGGTGTTGAGCCATCGTTCGTTGACATGTCTTTGTCGGCACCAATTTCGATCAGAAAGCTCACAATGTGGAGGTGACCACTGTAAGCTGCGGCCAGGAGAGGTGTTGCACCATCGTTAATTGCTGTGTCCTTGACGGCACCTTTCTCAATCAACAAGCGCACCACATCAAGGTGGCCGTTCTCACTAGCGATGAAAAGAGGTGTTACACCGTCGTTCATCGGCGTGTCCTTGCCGGCGCCATTCTCAATCAGCAAACTCACTACACTGAGGTGACCGAACTCACTAGCGATGAAGACAGGCGTTGAACCTATGCTGGTTGCCGTATCCTTGCCAGCGCCCGTCTCGATCAGCAAGCGCACGACATCAAGGTGACCTTTCTGACTTGCGACATAGACAGGTGTTGCACCACTGTCTGCTGCCCTGTCTTTGTCGGCGCCCTTCTGAATCAGCAAGCGCACTACGTCAAGGTGACCTGTCTGACTTGCGACGAAAACAGGTGTCGCACCAGTATTGTTTGCACTGTCCTTGTCGGCCCCATTCTCAATCAACAAGCGTACCACATCGAGGTGACCAGTCTGAGCTGCGAGGAAGACGGGCGTCGAACCACTCTGTTCGCGGGGCTTGTTGAGGTCAGCACGCCCGGACGCGAGCAGCTTCACACTCTGCAGCGCCCCGCTTCCGGCAGCCGCTAGCAGCGCTGTCCAACCATCGGAATCCACTAAATCTGGGTGTTGAGGACGCCGAAGAAAGGCCTCAACCGCAGCAGCATCGTTTCTCAGACTGGCATCTGTGAGCTCGTCAACGTCAACTGCTTCAACTGCAACATAGTCACAGATTGTTACCTGCAGTTCAAGCGGTAATTTCAAGGTTGTGTCTGAAGTAAGCTGCGTGTGGCCGCAGAAGAGCTTCAGACGAAAGCATGGCTTACCGACAAGAGTAGACAAGAGCTGCTCAAGGCCCTTGGTGACACTGCCATGCACATCGGCCAACGCAGCAACCTCGTCTTCAGTAGCGGTCATGAGCTCCCGTCCGGAAAGGTGTCGAACACAGAGCATGGCAGGTTTGATTATGGAGCCTTCCCCACTCCTCGATTTGTAACCCTGAACCACGAACCTGATGCTCTGTCATCGGTCCGCTATGGCCGCCCTGTTCCACATGCAGGTACTTGAAAAACGGCAACCCTTCAGAGCCATGGGCAAGGTCTCCACCACGGAAACAACCGGCTACACTGCTTGAGGGAGAATCTCGTGACCACTATTGCGCCAGGGTTACATGCAGAACTATAATACTAGAGTTACTAGAGTTGTACCAGTGACTACAAGGGGATTTTATTGTTATTCTGTCTGTAGTGTTTGTGGTACTAGAGTTATATTTGTGACTATAAGGGGATCTGATTCTACAATCCGAAAGTTGTGTTAATAACTACAAGCTGATATGATTCTATTTGTGGGTGAACGCAGGCGGTTTTGAGGGTGCCACCCACTGGCCGGCGGCGACCACGGCCGCGGCAGAGAAGAGGAGAGCCTCCACCAAGCAGCATTCCTTAACAAAGGCCGGGGTCAATTAACAGATCACATACCAGGTGTGATATATGCTACGCAATATAGTATAATGTAATGTATTGTAATATCATATAATATAATATAATGCAATGTAATGTAGTCTAATGTAATAGAACATAATATAGTATAATTTAATATGCATATGCACATATGTGTGTTACATGTATTTATGCATATATATATATATATCTGTGTGTGTGCGTGCGTATGCATGCATGCATGTATGCATGCATGTATGTATGTGTGTGTACATACATTTGTATGTATGTATATGTATCTATATATATATATGCATATACACATGCATTTTGCTTTATCGAATGCTATTTGTTGCAATGATGTTCACTTACTGTATATTAATTTGCATCCGGCTCATGACTGCTCCTTCTTGCCACCAGCTTCGTAGGTCGCCTTTGACTGGTGACGGCCGGTGGCCGCAATGATTCCTCAGCTTCCCTTAGGGCTTTCTCCAAGGATTGCCTTACACTTCGGGTTCATTCAATGGTTCGCGACATGTTCTTTCAGGCTTTCTATAGGGGTATGTAAGGGTACTGCAGCTTTTGTGGGAGGCCACGGCAGGCGACAGACGCGATCTAAAGAAAGCCGAGCTGCTTTCGCGGAAGTCCTCCAACTTGGACGTGCCGTAGACCAGCTCGTAGCTAAGTACGACCTTTGCCTCGTCAGCGATCTTCCTGAAGCTCCAGTCCCACAGCTCGCGGGCACATACATGCAACGGGACCCGGAGTGTCAGGCAAAGCGCCCGCAGAAGCCGGGACCCATATACTTGCGAGAAAGGGTCTTGAGCGCATGGAAGATGTCAATGGCAGCATCAGGAAGCTGCCCCAGCTCTGTTTTGGCTGTCAGTGCGCCTTAGAAGAGGTTTACAGCTTTGGGTCTCTTTTTTTGAGCACCTTTTTCCGCCTCACCAATCCAGCTAAGAAGAATCCACTTCGTGGAAGGCTTGAACAGGCCATGCCTTCAGGAACTTCGGGTTTGAGGTTTAGGGTTTGCGACAACAAGTGCACAGATTCCTGTAGCTGCCAAGGGGGGGTGGCTGAGTAAGACTAGAATTCCAAGCTAACCCCATTTAGGTGCATGCACATTATAATAAACTTACCTACACTGCTGGCAGGATCCCGGATGCTGAAGGGAAAGGGGGAGCGTACCAATGCATCATCCCGTCCTCAATGCCCACACAAAACAATGAACTCAAGATAACTCAAGCAACCACCCCCAGCTCGCCCATCGAATCAGGACAAGCGGCCTGCAAAATACAGAGGCTTAAACAATGCCTCGATCTCGATAAGGGTTTCATCATCTGCTTTTAGCCAGGGTCTCCTCGATGCTTTTTGAGGGGCTGCATGTCACACGAGAGCAACCAAGAGCTGGGTTTTCGTCAGGCCTTTGAAGCTTCTTTAACCAAGGCCGGGCATCAGCTGGTTGAAAAGCTGCTCTGCGGTGCTCAAAAGCACGGTCGACTCGATGCGCGGGCTCTTGATTTGCAGTTGGAAGTCCCACCTGATGTGCAGCTTGATCAGACGATGCGTTGGCGGCCCGAATCACGTCGAAAGGGCATGCAGATGAGCGGCACGATGGGAAGATGATCTGACGGGAGAAGCTCATTAGGCATTAGTGCCAGCCAGTCGCGGTCTGCATGATCCTTGGCTCAAATAAAATCGCAGAGTCGAGCCATGGGCGCCTGAGAAAGTGCCAGCAGTTGCTTGCCACCTTCGCGACATCTTCCCGGGAGCCGAAACAGACCATGGCAGTCATTTTGCAGCTAAGCTGCATCCGTCTTCCTTATCACTCGAACGGTAGAGAAGCTAGGTTCAGCTACGGCGATATACCATGCAGTGCCCAAGGCACTTCTCTCGGAGACGCAGTGCCTGCTCACCAAGCTGGAAGAGGTGGCGACCATCGTAGAAGATGTGGTCAATGAGCTGGTACATGTCCTGACGATGAACTAGGATTCCCAACTACTCATCTCCCAGCACACCGCATCAGCACCAGGTTGGAAGACGAAATCGGCGCAAAAGCTTGCGCACCCCGTCCTCGCCGACCTTTTTCGGCTGTGCAGAAGCACTCCCTCGCATCTTCCACACCTGAGGTGCTCCAATCCGGAAGAGCACGTCAGGGTTTCGGGGTCGAGGTGTCGTGAGATAGTCACTTAGCGCCCTCCTTATTCGCAGGTAGAGGCAATTCTAAATCTTTACTCAAGAATCAACACTAAATTCCTACCGCCCCAAACTCGAGGATCTCCTATGACCTCTAAACTATACATGCATGTCAGGCACGGAAACGGGTGGGTTCCACATGTCACGCGTACTGCTGTAGAACTCCTCCCAGATGCTTCGCAAATCCTCGGAAGGATCGGGATATGTTAATCAAGGGGTGTAGCATAGGTTCTATTCAAGGTTCAGGGTTTGGGGTTTTAGGGCTCATGAATCGAGGGTCTAGCAAAGGCTCTATTAAAGGTTTTGGATTCCCATGGCGCAAAGGAACATTGGTTTAGGCTTTACGCGATCACAAACCAGGGTTTAGGGTTTTTTCCCTCCCACTTAGCAAGGACGAGCCCGCATTGGGAATCAAGGGTTTTATCAAAGGTGTTCAAGATGCTTTTCCACAAAGGCTCCTGTGTGGGATTCTATAAGGGTTCTAGGGATGTGACGAGCTTCGTTGTTGTGCATGAAGCTCTGCAGCGCATTGGCTTCTTCCGGAATGGGCACGACACTCCCGAAGGTCATGTCCTCAAGCGATGACAGCGGGATTCAGTCTCAGAGCTCTTTGGGAGGCGTTCTAACACCTGGATTCCAGCAGCTGTTCCACGGAAGCGTCTTTGTCTTCAGTATAGCCCAACGCTCTTCCTTACTGTCCCTTCGACTGTTTACCCTGGGCTCCCTGAATGAAGTCGCCTTGGCCGAGTCTGCCCAGCACGTGCCGGAAACTTGCAGTGACTGTTTGCTCTGATGATTTTGTTTTGTGGCATTTCAGTACATTGATTTCGCGGCTGAAGGTTGCCTTTCCCATCGTCTGGGCCCCAGCTGCATGGCAACCTCTACTTGACACCCCCACAAAACCTGAGCGTTCATCTTGGAGCCCACCGTCGTTGCATCTTCAACTTCTTCAACTCTTCCTCCCTCCATTAAGGTCTTTAAACCACCCCACGCTGGGGCGGCTCCCAGAAATTTCAGACCTAGACCTGCCATGCCAGGAGTCCGCGTCATCGAAGTCTAGCTCGGTGTTCGCATCCATGGACCTGAACAGGTTGCAAAACTTAGACGAGGCTTTATAAGCCCTAGAAATCATGCCCTCACGGAAAGTCTCGTTCTTTTTTCCGAGTCTATGGAAAACCCTAAATCCTAGTCCCAAAACCCCACGCCAAAACCCGCCGGAAGCTGTCAGAAGCATAGGACGACTGCTGCCGATAGGTGGCCAAATCTCCGGCAGACCGCTGCGACCCCAACATTGGCCCAAGTGGTGCAGCCTCACAGCTCTTGTTTGAAATCCCATCGGGGCAATACAAGGCCGACCACAAAGGCCCTGTGTGAAGATCCCCAGGAGAGCACTAAGGATGCAGCTGCTGAATTCGCCGGACTTCGCTGTCCGTTCCGCTGGACCTGCTCTGCTCTTTGCTTCGCTTTCACTCAAGCCGGACGTGACCATTGCTGGACCAAGGAGCAGGTGCGTAGTGCATACATAGAATTGCCTTGAAGGCATGGGCTGGTTTTTTTCCCTCCCGGGTTTAGGGTTTAGGGTGCATCGAGACCTGGGCTTAGGGTTTAAAGGTTTAGGGGGGCACATGATCGCTGGATGTTGGCAAGGTGCTGCCGCCGCAGTCGCTCGTCCAATTCTTTGAATTGCAGGAGCACCCTCACTGCAGCCTGATCCGCTGTCGCAAATCCTTCCAGGCAACCCCTCAGTCGTAACCCTCAACCCTTTTTTACACAGGCTTGATTGGTCCAGGACTCTCGCAACCAGCCGGGAAACTCCCTCAGCCCTAAAACCTAAAACCTTTTTCCACAGGCTTGAACTGAGCTCGCCCGGCCAAGTCCCTCGCAGCACATCGCACTCGTGGCGAGATACGCAAGGCTAACCTAAACTGCACGCTCCTGGGACTTCGGACGTGCCCTCCACGAAGGCGTCGATGTCCGGATCTCCCGGCAAAGTCTGGAACTCCTCGGATTCCAAAGGAGTGCTTCGTGCTATATGATATACGAAATGTATGATATAAAACACTGTATGATATACAAAACTATATGAGATAAGATGATCTTATATGGTATACTATACTATACTATACTATATGGTAGATATGTCATACTCGAATGTGGGATATACGATACCTGAACATACTACCTACTATAATATACCTGGGCTCCTGCATTGCTAGGTCGAACCTGCTACGCAGAGAACTTCACAGCGGGACACGCTGGGTCAACAAAAATTACAGGACGCCCTTCATTGACGATGCCAGCTAGGGCACTGAGGTGTAATGTCCGAAACCCCGAAACCCCTAAACCCTAAACCCCCAAACCCTTTTTTTGAGCAGGGACTGCAATGCACTAAGCCCTAAACCCCCAAACCCTAAACCCTCAAACCTAATGTCTAGCATTCTAGGGGCAGTCGGTAGCTCCGTACTGACATACTGAGGACGGATCACGGGAGAAGTTGCGCCTCAACAACACTCACTTCGTAAAGGCTCAACTCCCATTCAGTCCCGCACGTCGTTGCAGCCTATAGCCATGACGCATCATGCCGTCTTGAGCACACTCACGCATCCGGGGTTTTGGGTTGTCGATGTGGGATATGGGATCTGGGCTCACTGGGACGCGCGGCAGGCTTGCCAACCATCTGGAAACGATCTGCTCGCCAAAAAATCGCTTGCCCGTCGTCGTCCACTGGCCACGCATCTTGCCCATGGAACCGCCTGGGATCTGCGACGCTTCTCCACTGAACTGGCCACACAAGGCTCCAATACGAATGCTTCCTTCAAAGACAGGGAGGAAAGCACTAAACATAATGGGGAAAAAATAGGGGAAAAATATTTTTCCCTATTTTTTCCCCATTATGTTATGTGCAGAGCTCTTGCATCCGTGCGTCGCTTTCACACCAGTACCGTCTGCCACGCGCTTCTCCAAGAAATGCCGGGCCGTGCTCTTGCCCTTCCTGGGTTCTTGTTAGGGGATTGTATTTCAGTTACCATCATCAAGAAACCATATGATCTACTATAGGTCTCCATTATACTAACTTGAAGAGAATCCCTTAAAGCAAGAGCCCAGCTTCTTGAAGCCGGTTTTGGGAGCGAAGGCCCAGGACGAGGAGGCGAGCTTCTCGCCTCGGCAAGGCATCGTGTGGGGTGTGTACATATCTATATCTTGTTTATTTGGTTATGTATACATACATATTAACATATTCACATATACACACACACACATATATATATATGTGTGTATGTATGTATGTATGTATGTATGTATGTATGTATGTATGTATGTAGTTACATACATGTATATATATATATGTGTATAAGTATGTGTGTGTGTGTGTCGAGCCTCAGCTTGTCCAGATGTCCGACTCAAGTCAAGGCACTGTAGGTCGATCCAGTCCGATCCTTAAGAGGGACGTAGGCTTCGGCATCCGTGCTGCTGCAGGCATACCCGAGCTTCTGCAGCTCTTTGGAAAGGAAAGTGAAGTTGTCGAGCTCCTGGCTAGCGAGGGCAAATCGGAACTAAGAAGCAGCTACAACTGAGCACTGTGCCATAGCCCTACCGCAAACGGCGGCCGGATGTTTCCCAACAAAAATGCACTTGCCCGTTTTCACGCAAAGTTTGAGGGCGCTCAGCACGAAGGCATGAACCCTCTAGCGCTTCCTTGCCAGAATCTTCTCACTGTGAGTCCCATCTTCTTCTTCGAGCTGCAAGCTGTCCTGCAGGCAGATGATGTCGGGCT